CGGACAGCCCACCCGTTTGAACTAATAAAGTGCCAGGGGCCTAAGTGGTCACCTAAATATTAAAAAAAAAAAAAAAATGGTTGTATAAGCTCTCCTGCATTAGAAGCCGAATCTTTAAATGCGATTCAAGATAATTATGATGATTTATCTGAGTCAAATATAAATGATAGTGAAAATTATAATAATGATAGCAATTATGAAGAATAATATTTTTTTATTGCAATTAATAAAATATATTTGTAATAAATTAGTACTAAAGAATATTGCAATTAATTAGCATATTATACATTTGCTATGCATTATTTAATATATTATTATATGCATTTTGAATAAATAATATATATTGTTTAACATGTTTTTAAATAATAAATATATTGTTTAACATGTTTTAAATAGCATTATACAATTAAATATGTTATTTAATATACTTATGACCTATTTTTTAATGGTGTTAGTCTGTATTGGGTTCGTTTTCCTACAGCCTAAAGTGTTAAATAACAATCAGTATTAGTTAACAATTTTTAAACACTTTTCAAACTTCCTGATGAGGTAGGTGCTGAGATATTTTTGCTCAAATTTTTAAAAACATTAAAAAATAACAGTGTGCCAAAATTTTTATAAAACTTTGAGCAAAGATATCTTGGTAACTACTTTTCCAAATTTGATAAAATTTTTTTATTTTGATATGACAGATCTGTATAGACAAAATTAGATAAAATTCATTGTATTTGACTAGGTGGTTACTGAGATATTTTCACTCAAATTTTTGAAAATGATATCACAGCCATAGCAAACTTTTGTAAACTTTGAGCAAAAATATCTTAGAAACTACCTAGCCAAATTCGATAAAGCTTTTTTTATTTTAATTCTACAATTCTGTAGAGTCAAAAAAAAATACAAAATTTATAGAATTTGGCTAGGTGATTGCTGAGATATCTTTGCTTAAAGTTTTGAAAACATTAAAATGTCAATTAAAAAACAGCTGCAGCAAAATTTTTATAAAATTTTGAGCAAAATATCTCACAACTTCCTAACCAAATTCAGTAAATATTTTTTTAATTTTATATACAGGACAATAGTTAGGCCACTCCAATTTAATTTTCTGTTTAACATAACATAAACATAGTTTATGATGATGGGGAGAGAGGGTATTAAAAAAACACAAATATAAAAAATACAGTAATTTTATTGGTTATAAAAAATGTAAAAATGCAAAAAGTTAATACTGCAACTTGATTGGCTAATATTATGTTTTTATGCAATTTTAAAAGATAACTAAGAATCAAATTGTAGGTGGTCATCGAGATAACATAGCTCAAATTCTTGATAATATTTAAATTTTATGTAAGTATGATGCAGCAAGAATGTAACTCAATTTTAGGTACATTTTAGACCTATCAAAAAAGCAACCGCAGACCTATCAAAACGATACATTTGCTTCTCAAGGTTTTGATTGGCTATTTGTCACATGATTTATATATTACACAATGACCAATGTCCAATACTTTTTTGGTCAATGTCCAGCCCAACACTGGGTTGATTTATTCTTGTTTAAAGTTTAAAAAAAATTATATAAGAAAAATATGATTCATTTCTACTAATTTACCCTAAGTGTAGATAAAAAACTTTTTAGTAAAATTTTTTCAAGAGATTTTCTCATAAAATTTTTTATTATACAAGTTCGTGTTCCCAAATTATTTATGCTTTCTTTGGTTAAATGAAATTTCTCAACTGAATCGCTAATATATATAATACTTAAAACTTTGATTATGTGACAGGTTTGAATTTTTCAATGCATTCAAACACTCATTATAACGATTTTAAACAATGTTTATTTTTTTCTTTGATTAATAAAGCTTGAAGTATTCACTCAAAAAGTCTCATGACTTAGAAATCAAAACTTTGTGGATTCATAATTAAATATTATACAGTAGAAGAAATTCAATAAAATAATATAGAATAAATTCAAAAAATTAACTTAACTAATTTGTGATTTTTTTTATTGTACAAATCATAATTTACAAAATATGTAATATTATATTATACAATTTCCTTTATATCGATAAATTTAGTTTAATATTAAATATATCATGATTGACCTAAGTTATTTTTCAACCGGTGGAGATTAAAATATAACACTTGTCAAAACAATAATATGCATCCATCGTTATTGTTAATTGAATATATCTACGTATAATATTGTAGATTGAACTTAACAATTAGATTCTTTAAATATTTATTATTATACACATAAGTTGACTAACTTGATAGTAAAAAGTCATCGTTAGAATTGAAATTTTGTAACACAAACGTTATCACATTTTCTAGAAAGGAGGTTTTTCTAGTCTATTCCCCATTTTCGAATAAGCTATCGAATAACGAATATTTAAAATTCGGGTTATCAGATAAAAAGTTCCACCTCTGAGGTAAAACTTTATTATTTCATTGCTGACATATGGTTCTGCACCTTTTGTTTCATCATTAGTAGAATATTATAATGTTCCATAATAAGAAACAAAATTAGAGACGAATTAAAACATTAAATGTTATTATGTCCAAGAAAATGTAAGGTTGAATTTAATAAATTAAAGGAAAGTGGCTGTGAGTTAGGGATATCGGATGGGTTGTTAGCAGTCCCCTGTTGCACGATAAGTTGTGGGTGAACACTATATGAAGAGATTTTCCCTTCACCGATTACTACTTTAAGAGAATAATCAACTGTTCCACGTGGTGTCACAGGATCAAGGAGTTCTATAAGCTTGATAGCACCAGAATACGAAATTGCATAAGCATGTGTACACATTGGAGCCACAGATTTATATAGTTTATGGACAGAAAAACTATTTCCAACTTGTTCACCAACACCTTCAAAGCAATGGCCTACGTATAACATTTCCCAAGAAGCAGGTAAATCACGATGAATATCAGCCACAGTAGCGGTGATGTCAAGTTCAAAGTCCACATCATCTTCTAAAATTAAGACACTATTAAAGCCTTTATCAATTATTAGTTCATATATTGAATAATGGCTTAAATAACAAGCTTTTTGAGAAGGGTTCATATCTGCGGAACCATATTTGCGGAGAATTTGTTCATCATCTTTAGTAATGGCAGAAAAATAATCAAAATCTAAACCATGATAAGAAGCTATTTCATCTAATCTTTCACGTCTATCCGTTCGATAGTCAAGATGGACAATGTAAATATGGTCAAAGCCAAGTGTGCGATCAGAGAATCCAACCACTTTTTGTAAATTTAAATCTTCGAGATAATTAAATAATAGTCGAAGCCAGAAACTTAAATAGAATAATGTAAAAATTAAGAAGCCAACAAATATTTTAATCATGCATCGGTTATTGAATTTCGTTGCCATAGTTATCAATGAAGAGTTGTAGAGCTTAAGTAGTACCTTTTTTTTTTTGCTCACGTTTATATTAACGTTCTGATAAAGATAATCAAGGCTGGTTTAGTCTAGTGTAAACAGGTTAAGTTATTCGGTATCATCATAGTCAGCGCTAACGTTTGAAACTAGATTTGGTCTTCGGATTTAACGTTAAGTATAAAATCGAATCTACCTAATCTAACAATGCGTGATCCGGTTATGCTCACAGATCGAGTATCACACCGTTATGCTCAATTTTTTAGTGTCATATTATTTATCATTACTTAAAGTTGATTTACGCAGTAAGTCAACAGATCGAAAAGATGGGCAATTCGGCTAAGCCAGGATCAACCTTTAATATTAATCCTGATCGGGAATACGGAGATCGCACATGAAATCAGGTAATTAGATCTGAATTAGCTGCCTTATTTATTTTCTTATTTAGCAATCTTAATTGTCGGGGCAAGTATAAGACGCATGCTACGAGCAGACCCGCAGCCATCTTGCTAGAAGCAAAGTTCGCAAGAAATTATAATACGAATATCACTTTTAGATAATAAAAACGGAGCAATCTCAAGCTAGTCAATTCGGAATCGCCTAACAGCACATCAATACTTCATATAATTAATTACCATTCTAATTACTCAGTGAAGTGTTGTCTATTTGCGAGACCCTTTGATCATTAGGATAGAATGAGCCATTCTTATCTCGAAGCCAACATGCATCTTTGGCCATAATAGCAGACATCGACATTAAAAATGCCATTATTGTTTAAGGGCCTCGGAAAAATATACAACAGAAATTAGTACTTTGAAACTTAATGATTTTAGTTCTGATTAAGAACCACATATATGTCATGCTCTTACAAGTTAATAACGTGAAGCTGTTAAAGCACTGATCGAATTCTATGTATGAATAGAATTATAAATTACGTGAGTGTACATGAGGATTAGGTATCCAGTGGCATATTGCTGTTGATTGTTAACTATATAAATTCTTTTCATCCGTGGACCAGCATGATTACACTATTTTCATCATGCGTACTATTATTGAGCGGTTAAGCCATTCTGACCATTAAAACTGCAAAAAAAAAAAAATCGAGATCTCAAATGCAGGCTCGCCTATTTGCAATTCGTAAATTTATAATATTACAGTATCACTGTACATGAATTATAGAGAATATTCTTATATATCTCGTGTAGAAAAGAAAGTTAGGAAAGGAGGTCAAACTGAAGCTTGTTACTTAAAAAAAAAAAATAAAAAATAAAAAAATTTATTATCAATAGAGCCCTAATTTCCAAGTTCTGATTGGGCTATCAAATACTATCACCAATTGGATAAAATGGATAACGTTGCCCTTAGCACACCACAAGATCTGAGGTTTTTACGTTACGTTACTTAAATTTATATGTAGTGTAACGAAGCAGAAATACCACTCGAGATGTAAGATACGTACGTACGTAGTAAATGCTACGTTTATATACCATTCACCTACCCAATATCCCGAATATATATCCCAAAGATGCCGAATCTGATACTACTATTGTACGCCAACCCACAATTCGGTCATAATCTAACGGCGGCGATCGATTTCTAATCGTGACATTTTCCTCCACCTAAATGTATGGTCCTTCCTTCTTTATCTCTTTTTGGTCATTTTTAATCATCTTTCTAAATGCATTAACCTTTCTGATCCAAGCTTTGTAGGCTTTATCAAGGCTTTTAGCTTCTTTATCCTTGGTTATGCTAATGTCATTTTGATAACAATATCCAGGCTCGTACTGTCCTTCATCACGCTTCCACTTTAATCTAATCTTTGTTTTTTTTTTTCATTGTCGTCCAGGATAATACCTTTTTGGCAACATAATCTAGTGTCATTTTTTTCATTCAAATGTCTATCTCTAGTACGTTTCGTACTTCGCTCGAACACTTTGCACTCATTATCAGCAGATTTTTGATAATGATTATTACGATCCTTTTCATCACCGATTCCACTTCGTTGACTATTGCCTGGTTCCTGATAAACAAACGCTTTATGATCATATTTTTCGATTCCAATTCTATATAACAATATCCAACCGAATATGTTCCATCAGTATGACCTCTATCGGCAAGCTTCTAATAATAATTGAATGTTTTATGTTCATTCTCTTTAACATCAATCCTGCTTCAACGATAATGACCAAGAATTGACGCTTCATCTTTTCCATTTTCCTTATTATTCACACAACCCTTTTCCAGCCCAATATGGTGCAGGACATCTAATCACATCACAAAATAATTAGCTCTAATAAAAGTTTAATAACTTTTTAACTAAAAATACTATTTTAAAAATTTTTCTATAATTATATTATTTGAAATCTAAAGAATATAGTTTTTTAAAAAAATCTTTTTATTAAAAGTTATTTTGGTTTAAAAATCATTTAATTTTATATTAAAGTTAAAAAATTCAGCATATTATTTTATTAATAAAAGTTAAAAATTCAGCAGTTGTATTATATATATTAAAAAAAATTATTTTTTTTTTATAACTCTTCCTGATGATCATTTGGACCAGAATTTCCTACTAAAGAAAAACAAAATTTTTGTTGGAGAGTTGTGGCCTAATGTAGTGATTTGTCTAGAGGTTAACAGTTTTCTCTTTTATAAGTTGTGCGTTTGGCATGCAGGAGGTGTGTGCCCTTGGATGCAAAATCTTGATAGAGAGACAAAAGTCTTCTCTATCAATGAAGTTACTTAGACTGTTACTTCCAGAAGAAGAACACAGGGGAAACAACAAAAATTTGCTTTTTTTTTCAAGTCACACTCTTTTACTCAGCCAAGTGGTCTTTTTTTTACTTTTACTCACCCTCTCATCAGTATTCCAAAATTTTTTACAAAAAGTGGGGATTTGGCTTACTCTCTCCAAAAGATTGACATTGTTTACTTTTCAAATTTGGACAGTCTAGTGGAATGCAACTATGTATTTTAGGAATATAGAGTTACTATACAGGACTGGGTCCCTGGCACAAAATGCTTAATAGTGGCAGTAGGTGGCTTAAGATACAGGTTTATAGCAGTGAAAAAGATTTGAATTTTTTTTTTTGTTTTTTAAAAACATAAAATTTTAAATTTAAATTCCCCCAAAAAATTTAATATTTTTATAATAAAATTATTAAATTCTCTCTCTTACTCTCTCACTTATTTATTAAAAAATAAAAGTTATTAATCAAAATATTTAAATTAATTTAATTAATTTATTTATTAATTTAAATACAAAATTATTTTTTAATCTAATTATTAAATTAATTTAACTTATAAAATATAATTATCTAATTTATTTGTTTTTTATAAATATAATATATTTATTTATTTAAAATATTACATATTTAATAAATATAAATAAATTATTATTTAAACTATAAAGAAGCCCAAAATTTATAAGCTTTTTAAAAATTAAATTTTTTATAAGCCAAATCATTAATCTTAATTATTAAAAGATAATTAAGAGTGCTAGTATACATTTGAATTCTAATTTTTGGTTTAATTAAATTTTTGTTCTGAAAAAACTCTTTCTATAAAGGGAAAGTGTTAAAAAATTAAACCAATTTTAGCAATATTAGAATATAATATTGAAAAATTAGAAATATTAAAAAGTTTTAACCAAGCATTATTTGGTTTTAAAGAAGAATAATTAACAAGTAAAATTTGAATATATTTTTATTCTTGAATTAAGTTATCTTTATCAATAAATAGTGAAAAAATAATATCTATAAAAATATAAAATATTATTAATATTTTAAATAAATTATTAGACTATTATAATTTAGCGCACTTGTGCAATAATACACCCCATCTGATCAACTAATCAGATTATAAGATCAGGTTTAATATGAAATCAAAAAAATAGTGATGTTTCTAAAAAATCACTTGTAGCTTAAAATTTTGATTATGAAACTACCTTTCATATTCTAACAAAAAAAATTTCTTGCAAAATTTTGGGTTAGAACCTTTTTGCTAAAGCACTCTACTCTAACCCTAACCTAACCCTAACCTAACCCTAACCTAACCCTCACTCTAACCCTAAACTAATGAATTAATTTATTGTTTTGATTTCATGATACACCAGATCTTATGAACGCAGATGCGCTAAATTATATAAACCAAATTATTATTATTTATATATATACCTTGAACAGATTTACTTGTACTATAATAATTAGTTATAGTTATAATTACTTTATTTCTATATTTATTTAATAATGTAGTTCGTAAATTGCGTGAATCAAAAGTGCAAAATGCATCAGTAATTTCATGATAAGGAAAAAATATTTGAAGATTTATAATTGTTGCTTGTGCAAATTCTTGTATATATAATAGAATATCATTTGTTAAAAGGTTATTTTCATCTAAAAATTGTTGTAAAAAATTTTTCCATGTAGGTTTTTTATTACTATTACCTAAAAAATCAAATCTAATTTTTTGAATAATAGCATTAATTTGAATTTTAACCCATATAGTAATATATAATTAGCTTGAAAAATAAGTGTTAAATATCAAAGATCACTAAGAATATTAGCTAAAAAATGTGTTATAAGAAAAAAATTTTGATCAATTATATTAAATAGCATTTGTGCAGTTTTTATTTTTGCATAATCATCTTGAAGTGCCTGAATTACAGAATTAATAATACAATATAAATTAAAAACAATATTTGATAATAAAAGCCATTGTGTTGTTACAATTTTTAATAAATGAAGTTCAGGATCTTCTAATTGTGCTTCAACTATTTTTAAATGTTCCATTTGCAAGTAAGAACTGCTAAAATAATTATAAAGACTTCGAATAATATCATTATAATTAATTAAATAAGGAATTGAGAATACTGAATCTTTATTTGCAAGTGCCAAATGGTGAGAAATACAATAATGTTTAATAAGGTGTTAATTTTTTTTTAAGTTATGTAGTAACTCTATTATTGTGCCCTTATTATTATTATAATTTAAAAAAAT